CTACTTCAAAACAGAAAGGGTAAGATGAAGAGGCAACCCCACCCCACCTCCAGCCTTAACTACTCAGCCATGGGAAGGAGGGAGTTTCAGCGCAGAGTGGTTAGAGATGGCAGCTGGGAATGAGTAGCATGCCAGGGTGTTAGGTTGAGTCTGAGCACTTAATGGGGGAACCTGGAATGGAGGTAGAATCTAACAAAGTCCTGAGCAAAGCCACTGTGGGTCAGGGACCCAACATAGAGCCCTCTGCAGGTTACTAGGGTATACAGGGAAGAGTGAAAATGCAGCTTGTTAAGAGGTCTGGAATCAAGTTTTGGTTCTGCCATTTCTATCCAGGTGACCTTGGCATACCTTCCACTTCCATGGGTCTCCTATAGAGTACTGGCAGAGATGGAGTGTGAATGGACAGGGATTTGCAGAGCATTTTAGTGAACGAGTTGGACTAGGTTAACAAGGTGAGATGGTGGGGACAGTGGTGAGGAATGCTGGGCCTGGCTGGCTTTCAGCAAGACTGTTGGTTAGAACTTAAGACCTTGGGTTTTCAGATCCTCACAGTTGGATGGGGAGGTTGGTAAACAGAATGTACTGGGAAACTAAATGGGGCTGAGCTCATAATGTCTACTCTTTGCCCCAAGAAGCTTATTCAACTGAACTTGGTATACTTTAAAAGCTGAACAGGGAAGAAAGTCCATTGGCTGTTGTTTTCTTCCTCTTCGTGGTTGTGTGTACTGGTCATTTCCCCCTGCCTTCCTGTAGATAATTGGCCTTCCCTTTAGCCAATTAGGAGCTGTGCAACCCAGTGACCAACCCCTTTTTGAATTTGCTTCTTTTATAATAGAGAATTCATGACTCATTATTATTCTTTTTTTTTTTAAAAAAAAGGAGTTCCAGGAAGAACAAACAAATCATTCTGACATCCTCACCTCCTTCTTCTCTCTCCTTCTTGTTCCCTCCTTATCTGTCTTTCATGCTCTTCATTACTTGATGATCATATGACTTTATGATGATTGCATTCATTTCAACAGTTTCAAGAATTTTAAAATCCATCCATTAATAAATATTTCTTATGCACCTATTGTGTATAAGACCTCAAGAAAGTCAAATCGCACTGTATGCAGATGAGGAGGTCCCTTTAATAACTTCCACATCCAGTTCATTCTCTGCTGAGAGGCAAGCATGTCTGGGAAAATTGGTGCTTTTCCTAAAATGAAATAAAGCATCTTTCCTTTCTTCTCCAGAACAGCAGAACCATGACTGAACTGAGCCTGCTCATTCTTCCACCTTACAGGGGAAGCAAAGGTTCTGCAATGATGGATTTGGAAATGAGAATTTAGGAACACTGAGATCCCTTTCTACTGCAAGAGAGCAAGGGTGGAGAATGGCTGACTGAATCCCTGTGAGCATGTGGATAGGACTATAGAAGCCATTGATGACTGAAGTGCTTTAAGATTCAACACTGGCGATTTAACAGCCAGGGCCCCACAGCAAAGCTGTCCTCTCCCTAAAGGAGCTTGGGAGGGAGATAAGAGGCAGTGTGAAGGGTTCGTTTCTGCCACAGACACATTGTACTAAACTCTGGCTCCTCCTCTGCAGGACTGCAAATCCTCTGGGGGAGGTAGGGAGCCCGGACAGAGGAGAGGAAGGCACAGGATAGAATGAACACAAAAAGTGAATTTCTTCCTGCCCCTAGAGACAATGATCCCTTGTGAAGACAAGAGAGGTTAATATCCGGAGAAGCAAGCCTCCATGCAGCTTGAGACACCTCACTTGGAACAAGCAGTTTGAGTGTCCAGTTGCAAATTTTATTGAACTCTTCTCTGAAAGAACCAATTTATCTCCCCATTCACAGGCTCATAACATAGCTTTCCTGAAAAGTTCGAGAACGGCTCCTATCATTCTTTTCCTCCCTGTATCCAGGTATGCCCCCACCCCTAATTTCTTCCCCAAATCCCACTGAGGAATCCAGCGTGCTAGGGAGTTCAAGTACACACTGTGGGAAGAAAGACTGCAGTTTGCTTTTGATCCCTTCTCCCTGTGTCTGCCCCTAACAGGTGGTCATGTCCCTTCTAATTTTTCAGAAGACTAATTAATTTCCAAAGCAGCCAGAGAGACAAGGATATGTTTCTAATTCTTATTTTCATCAGAGGTGAAGGGGGGAGAAGGGAGATCATTTCCAGAGACAAAAAGCCCCAGTGAAAACACAGAGCAAAGAGAGATCAGAAAAAGACAAGATTGTCTTTCATCTGGAGTCATTAGCAACATCTTGGAAAGAAGATTTGAAATCTGTTCACAACTTCTTGGCTATGAGTAGAAAATACAAATAAAGGGGTAATGGGTGGGGAGGAGCTATTATTTAAAAATATTTTTTTTTGAGAAGTCCAGCTGATCACAGAAATCACTGACAATGTGATGTCTGCAAAGGACAACATTGCCTTGATGCTCAAAGAAGAAAGCACACATGAGCATCCCATAAGAACAGCCTGTGTCAACCTTCAGAAATCAGGGGTTTAAATCTCAAACCGCTTCCTAAGTGACCAATGTCCAACTTCCTAAGGTGGTCCCTGGCTTGAAAGAGATATTGAAATGAAAGGCTAAGTGAAGCTGGGTCCTTAAGCCTGCCAAGGCCTTGGCTACAAGTGGAAAGGGAAGTCACCCAAGGTGGGTCTGGTCCAGTCCTCCCATGACTGCCTGGGCCTCTCACTGGGGAGAGGGGCCCTGGTGAGTCAGATCCACAGTTTCCATGCACACTCCACAACCCGTTGTAAGTGTTGCAATTCTAACCTTTTCCAGATGATTCAGGGAGAGAGAGGCTGTGTGGCTTGGAGAGAAAGTTAAAGGGGGTGGGTAGTACATTTGGGAATGTGGGCATCAAACAGATGGCATTTTAATGAAAATACTTAGGCTTTTTGATGCACAAGTGATCCGAAACTACCTCTAGTCATCTTGTCTCCTGGGAATTATAAAATATTGAGAACTGCACCGTGTAAAGAATTTGCAAATGAAGCCCCAACACAAAAGTATATTTATAACAACTCACCAATTTCTGGACACATTTCTCCTAAAAGAATGTCCTGTCTTTCCTCTAATCTCTTAGTGACATATCTCTATCCATCTAACTAAAATCCAAGGGAGGCAAATTGCTACTATGATAATTTCCCTAAAGCAACCCTCATTCACTTTGCTTTTCTTCTCTTTTGGAATAAAAGTCTGTCATAAATGTTTAATTAAATAGAAGTCTTTCCACTGTTAATGACTAGCTGCATGAAAGGCTCTTCATTTTTTTTTTTTTTTTAAAGGAGGGGTGTACGTGTGTGCTTCAAACAGTTCCTATTAATTTTCTGATATTGATTCTCTGGCTGGGGAAGAGCATATAGTATTCAGCATAGAGCTCCTCTGCAGAATATGTTAAAGGCAGCGGTTTGGATTGAGAAAGGGCACCAAATGCAGAATGCGTCAAATAGACCATCGCTCAATGAAGTCACTTAGCTATTCAAAACATGTTCAGCCATCACTCAACCGTTTGCACCAAGAATGTGGGGAGGGGGGCAACCATTTATGCTTTCCCCCCAGGCACAACCATTTCCCAAAGAGCAGCTTTTACTCAGTTTGGGTTGGACTCTGGGGGCCAGATCAGTTTCTCCCTTTCTGGCTCCTTTCCTTCACTTCTCCTCCATCTCCTGGTCTCAACTCCCTGCATCACCATCCCATGTTGAGCTTAACAAACAATCCTGCAGTAGCCCGATTCGCTTCCCTGATGTTGCTTCAAAAGGCCTCCAGTATTGGTTCATATCAGGAGCAAAAGACCTAAGTCTTTCATTCCATCCAGAAATATCTCTCCATGCAGGTCTTCCTATGGGTAGCTGTAGGTTGTACCATAGACATTCATAGCCATTCAAAAGTGGTCCCTCAGATTCAAGTCTGCTGCTGAATGCAGGTTGTATGACCCGCAGGAGTTTTTTTCCCTGTGCTTATTAACGTGTCTCAGAAGCACATGCCTTTCCCCATGCCTTAAGATCCAGCTTTTACATTGTGACAGACCCTTTACTTCCAATACATGCATGTACACATACAACCCAACAACCTTACAAAATAAAGGCAAGTTTGCTGACACCCCCGCCCCACTGTTCCTCCACCAACCTCCCCGTGCCCTGGCCTCCCTCCTTCCCTGCCTGCCTGCACAATGTCTGATTCTGAGCTGGCTGCAATGCTGACTTTACTTACTGCTGGGGACCAGACATGTCACTCTACATGTGAGTGAACCGCTTCTCAGCCTAACCTGCCCGTGAACTGCTGTTTATTAGAGCTTGAGTTTGTTCCCTGTGAGAGACGTACGTATTTTTAGACTTAGTCAACGTTAAAACACACACATAGACACACGCAGCCAGCCACCTTAAACGATCTGGGTGGCTCATAGACATTACGAAATGCTCTTGAACTCAGCTTAAGATCCTGGAATAATTAGGATTTACCAAATAAGGATTCTTGGAAATAACAGATTTTTAAAATATATATATATATATATAAAAGGAGATTTGCAGATGATGATGTATATGGGACTTTTTGAGAGTAGGGGGAAGAGGAAGGGAGGAAGGAAGTGAATTTTGAATTCTTCATTCTGAAAAGAGGAACAGTGATGTTGAAAGAAACAATTATTTCCCCTCTCAGAGATGGCCATGTTTGACCAAATGGCAAATCCTAATGATTCTGAAGCAGCCAGAGCACATTGGACTTTTAAAGACAATCTCTTGTTTTCATTTTATCATGGATTATTCCAATGAAGAGGTTTGGGGGATGGATGAGGGTAGTAGAGGTGAGAGAGTATGGATTTTGCTTATTGATTCTTTTTCCTCTGAAAGTAACCCAACCAACCTTGATCAGTGGTAGAAGGAGTGAAGTAAGAAAATGGTGGAATGTAAAGGGGACTTATTTGGTGGAGGGTGGGGAGGGGTAGTGAAAAGAGGAGGGGGTGAATGGAAAGAGGGAGGAGATGGGAAATCAAATACCTTCTAAGCAGCAGGTTCTCCATAATCCAGAATGGGTCATAACTTCCTCATTCTTTTTGCTGGTTTCATTCTCACTTACACTTTTCGTCTTGCAAACCCCTCTGGAGTAGAGCCAATAGTCGGTTCCCACAGCTATGGTCATCAGACTGAAGGCAGCGAAAGCACCAACGGTGGTTAAAAGCATTTGAACACCTCGATCAAAGAGCCCCATAATTCTTCATTATATAAACACCCAACCGACTTCTAGTTCTCGGGAGAGTGTATGTGAGTACTAAAGCAAAAATAAAAATAAAAATAATTCCACTACTAATCGAATGGGTCTATGTGTGAATAGAGAAGATGGAGAGATATAAAAAAAGGGAGGTAAGAAAGCTCACGGAAAAGAGTGTAAATTATAAAGATCACACGGGAAGAGAGGCTTGCCTTTTGAGATCAGAAACTGTTCCAGTTGCAGTGTTGTTGTAGTTTAAAAAAAGGAAAAAAAAATAAAAAATAAAAAGACACCCCCCACCCCCCCCAAGTGAGATGCCTTAATCTCTTTTCCTAAAATTCTGGTCTCCAGTTTCCATATGTGATAGCTAATTTGGAGATGGCTTCCACAGTGAACCAGGGAACAGCCGCATTCTCAACACAACCTCTCATGGTCGGGACCTAGAGAGTTAGAGATTATAAGAGCGGAGATGCAACCTTTCGTCTTCGTTCTCGGCTCTGAGGCCTGCGCCATGAAAATCCTTGGCTTCCCCAGTTCTCTTCCTTGAGAGGGGGGTGGGTGTCTCAGGCGCTTTCGTTTCAGACCAGACTTCCTAGTATTCTGTAAGCCCTTGGTCGCAGCTGAACAGGTGCGGGGGTCTCGCCTTCCATGGTTTTGCCCGGCAGCAGCAGCGGCGGCAGCAGCAGGGCGGGCAGGCGCGGCGGCGGCGGCTGCTGGACGAGCAGCGGCGGCGGTTATTGTTGGTGGTGGCGGGGGTAGTGTTGGCGAAGTGGGGGAGGGAGGGGGTTTCTCCCGGAGAATCGAGGCGGGTTTCCCTCCCCCTATCTGCAAAGCTCCTGGAAACAAGGGAGCCGGCGTCTTGCTGCAGGATGGGCCGCCCGCCTGCCCCCCCCCACTCCTTGCCGGCTCGGCCCCCGGCGGAGGCGCTCCCACCTACTGCATTACCGGGAGGTGCTGAACTGGACAGCTCCCTGCGCCGCCCGCTCCGCGCGCTCCCCGCTCACAGGGCGGCCTGCCAGGCGGGGGGCGCGTGGCCTGAGTCCTTCCTCCCCTCCCGGGCAGCGAGACCAGAGCAGGGCGGGGGCTGCCTTCTTTCTATTTACCCCTCGCTCCCAAATCCTGAACCGAGCGCTCTCCTGGCTCCCGGAGCTTAAAGGAAGGCGTAGCTAGAGATATCTTCCCTCTCTCTCTCTCTCACACTCTCTCTGCTCTTCCCTCCCCGATTAGTGCTTTCTTCCAGCTCAGCCTCTTTCTCATTCCATCTCTACGTGCCTAGAGCTTCAAATACAACCCTCCCATCACAATCAGACGGGCACAAAACTTCAACCAGCCGCTTCCCTGCCTGGAAGGCGGTGAAACTATAACCTGGATGGGTAATTACAAACACGTCTCTATGTGGTTTTTGTTTTTTTTGGATAATCGGTTTCACTTTGCTGTTTTTGTGTGTGTGTGTGGGGAGGTGGGTTTGTTTTATTTTGTTGGCACGTTGGATGCGTCTTCTTTTGACCGTTCCGCTCATCTCTTTGTTTCTCTCTGGCTAACAGGGGGTGTGCACTGCACTGTCTCTCTGTAGTTTTCCGTGAAATTCCGTATCTTGCTCCTACAAGCAGACATTTTGGAAAGATTATTCATGGAATAGGGTGCACCGGGTGACCAGTGGCTGGGGTCTGGGCAATGGTTTTCATCTCAAGGGGAAGTGAGTGAAATCGGAGCCCTTGTAAGTTTCCTAGTCTTTTCTAAAGGCTCGGGAAGAGATAACAATCTCCCTGCTGTGAATATCAAACCACATCACAACCCTCCCCTCTTCCTTAGTCTATCCTGGGTTAATTACAGTGTCATTTCTTGTTTCTTATATGCAACTTTTTCTTAAATGTGACCCCCTGGAAAGAAGAAACCTGTTTTCCTCTGATCAGTTTCATGGCTTAGTGAGAGAGTGTGTGAGGGTGATGTGGGTGCAGTGTTTTTAAACCCAGGGTAGGGGGCTGGAGAGGAATGTTGAAATGCTTTAATTTTGTAACGTAATCATTGCATCCTTTCTTTTCCCTTCCTTCCTTTTTGACTTGCTAGCATGTGCTGACAATTTCTTACTGATAAAAGATGACTGGATTATAAACAGACCTTTTTTGGGGGGTGTAAAGCCCTTGGTTAACTTCTTTTCCTCGGCTTGCAATTAGTCTTCAGGTACATTCAGTGCATCTTTTGGGGCTTAGAAAAAATGACCTGTTTCTCCTCCTGCATAGAGCTTTCCTTCTCCCATTCTGTTCTCTTCTCAGGAGGGAGGGTCTCCTGTGAGGAGTGATTGCTATGTGTTAGGACCTGGGAGGCCCTGATAGAAGACCAAGACTCACTCTAACAACCTCTGACAAGGACTTTTAGGGTAGGACCATGTTTGCAGACTGATATTTCTCCACTTTGGTTTCTTGTCATTAGAGGATGGAGCTGGGGAGGGAGTTGATCTGCTGCTCCCACCTAACAGGGAATTTAGCAAGCTCGCAGATCAGGTGGGTGATTTCTTGCCTGCTGTCCTTGAGGAAAAAGTGAGGGGCAAGCACTGAAGCCTTTTAGATACACTATGAATACAGAAGACCAAGAAAGAATTGATGCCTTTGAATTTTGGTTTTGGCAAAGAATATTGACTATACTGTGAACTGTCAGAAGAATGAACAAGTTTGTCTTGGAAGAAGTACAACCAGAATGCTCCTTAAAAGCCAGGGTGGCTGACTTCTGTCTCATGTACTTTGGGCATGTTATCAGGAGGGTCTAGTCTGTGGAGAAGGACATCATGCTTGGTAAGGTTGATGCAATGAATTGACACAACGGCTGCAACATAGTAATGATTGTGAGGATGGCTCAGGACTGGGTACTGTTTCATTCTGTTGTATATAGGGGTCGTTCTGAGTTGCAACCAACTTGGTGTCTCTGAACAACAATAGGCCTTTTGGGGCTGGGGAGGAGAAGTTTGGATGTAGTCTTAGGTGCCTGAGAGACTTGCCTCAGTCTCCTCTGGTCCCCTTAGTTGCCATTGTGTTGCTGAATAAGTCAGTCTCTTCAGACTGGAGAGAAGAGCCTTGCCTCTCATACCCCACCTGCTTCAGATCAACTCCTGGAACTTTTGTTCAAAAAGAATCAAGTACCAGAGGTTCAGAAGCTTATGTTTGCCCACAGCAGCTGCTAACATCTCAGCTGATGATAGCAGCTACAGCTTTAGCAGCTTTTGATTAATCTTCTGGCCAGATAATCATTGAGAAAATGAAAAGGGAAAGAGGAGGGGGAGGAAGGATAGACCGAGAGCTTCTGAAGATGGAACAGCCTGGGAGTACAGTCTGGCTCTGCTATTGGTCTTCCCCATGATTCTGAACAAGTCAGCTCCCTTGTGCCACCGTTTTCCCATCTATAAAATGGGTACATCAGTATCCGCCCCTAATTCCTGAAGTTGTTCTCAGTAACCACCTGCCACACAGTTCAGACCTCCATCACTACAAGTGATGTCTCCCTTGCTGACTTGCAAATTCCTTGAGATCAACAGCTGTGTTGTGTTAACCAATATTGTCTTTAAGACCTGACGCAGGGCTTAATACATGTAGGTGCCTGATAAAAAATGGTTGAATGATTATGATGGAAAAAATCTTATTGCCATCTAGTTGATTCTGACTCATAGCAACGCAACAGGACAAAGTAGAATTGCCCCACAGTGTTTCTTCTGGAAATATTTACTGAAGCCAACTGCCACATCTTCTCCCCACGTGGAGTGGCTACTGGGTTAGAACTGCTGACTTTTTGTTTCACAGTTGAGCACTTAATCACTGTGCCAATAGTACTCCTTGATGATTATAAATTAACCTAACTAACTAAACAACACAACACAAAACAAAACCCCCAAACCAGTTGTCACTGAGTTGACTGGACTCATAGTGACCCTCTGGGACTGCCTCTTAGGGTTTCAAAGCCTGCAAATCTTTATGGAAGGGACCTTGGTGGCATAGTGGTTAAGTGCTTGCATGTTAACTGAAAGATTGGTGGTTTGAAGCCAATAGCCACTCTGTGGGAGAAAGATGTGTGGCAGTCTGCTTTTGTAAGGATTTGCAGTCTTGAAATCCCTGTGGGGCAGTTCTACATTGTCCTGTAAGAGCCTCTGAGGTGGAATTTGACTCAACAGCAATGGGTAAATCCTTATGGAAGCAGATTGCCCCATCTGTCCCCCACAAACACCAACCTTTAGGTTATCAGTCAGGTGTTTTCACCAGTGCACCACCAGGGCTTCTGGATGACGTTGTTAGGTGTCATCGAGTTGGTTCTGACTCGCAACAACCCTATACAGAGTTTCTGAGACTGCAAATCTTTGGAGGAACAAAGCCTCAAAGCCCATAGAACAGCTGGTGGGCTCAAATTGCTGACCTTGTGGTTCACAGTCCATTGTTTATTCTACAGAACCACTGAATGATGATTGTTGTTAAGTGTCGTCGACTCTGTTCCGACTCATAGAGACTCTGTATAGGGTTTCCGAGGAGCGGCTGGTGAGTTTAAACCATGGTTCAAGTGGACCTTGAGGTCAACTGCTTGTCTTACAGCAGCACACCAGGTATAAGTGACGATTACATGACAAAATGAAGTGTCTGGTATGTAGTAGACATGCAATACATGTGGGCCTTTTCCTCTTTCTCTGCCCCACTTTTACTGCAGGATTGGGCCCCAGTTCCTTTCCCCACATAACTCATGTACCACTTCCCTCTCTGCCTTACTCCTATGTCCCTTCTGTGGACCAGGCAAGGCTACCCAAGAAGAGCTGGATCCATGTTCCATTGAGGTGGTTCGGCACACAAGCTTAGTAGATGCTCAATAGGTTTGCTTAGGAGAGCCGCTTTGTGTGACCATGGCTGGCTACATGGGAAGAGCTTAGAGGAAATTAACTGAAATGCCACAGGCCTATTTTAAGCTCCTTTTTTGATGGAGTGGCAATAACATGGGATTTGGGAACGGCAGACCTGGCCTTGAAGCACAAGGCTGCATTTCCTCATTGTTTGACCTTGGGTAGTCACTTAACCTTTCTGGAAATTTACC